GAAGTACATCGAACTTTCCACAGACTTCACTGGATTTTGGAAAAGGCCCTAAGCATAAATACTGACTCCTTTATTCCTAAAACCTCAGCTCACTCCAGAATTTCCCAGGGAATTTGGCCCTTAGGGACTGCCAAACTTTGCTATGTTTCCTTCTTCATATACGTGTAAAAGCTCCAAAGTCCTCCGCATGCTCGGATGCAAGCAAGATGGGGGAAAGGAATTTCAGAGGTCTCCATTTTCACTACCCAAGCTTGCGCTCTCTACAATCAGAGCTTTGCTGACAACCCACCAGGCCTCAGAAGATTAAAAAGGACAGATTCCCTCTCGCTCCACGTCTCAGTGTTTTATCCACTCCGGTTTCCCTTGCATGCAAACCAAAGGTTGCTCCTTCCTGCCATATAAAGCCGAGCACGGGCAGTCCGCCCACGTAGCTGCGTCACCATCACTGTTTTTGCCTTCAAGGTCTGAGCAACATTTCTACTGATTCACCAAACCCCCGCGGAGTGGACTATTCTTAGACTTGATTTCCTTCCGTCTACTACATCTAACCATCCTGAGTGAACATCACCTTTAATTTATCATCAGTCGAGCCTGCATGGGGACAGCTTTTGTCAGGGACTAGGGGAGCTACTCCTGGCCGTTGCAAGCTGTGGAGCTTCGTCTATCATCATTATCATGTTACTCCACAGTGTTAAAGGCTCTGAACCAGACTGTTGGTTGCAATCTCCCATATTCCCTTCACATCGCTTTTCCAGGCCATCATGGACCTACTCGCCATGGTGCCTCTTCTCCTTGAGATTGCAGCAGGAGGAGCTGCCACGGCATGGCTCTCCCTTTGCAATTCATGAGCTGGCTTTGACAACTCCATTGCAATCACAGAAAATATGCTAAAATATTATAATGGCCCTATCACCATTTAATCCATTCGGTCCAACAGCAAAGTTGGATTTCATAAATCAAAAGCAAGTGGCTAAACTATTTTGACTAAATACTTCCTTCCCTTTGACGAAAGCACTGGCAGATTAATAAGCCTCCTCTGTTGACTTGACAATACAGGAGAAGCAGTCCTAGTTATGTTTTTCCGACTGAATTTGCATTGCCAGTGTACGCAGATCTCAGGAACTTCTTAAGAGATTCTCCTAAATAATATGAGGAGTCAGTGATTAAACCATAATATTATAATTTCTTCTCTCCCTGTCTCAGATTTCATATCCTCAGAACAGAGCTGGGATTACAGCCGGAGCTCAGGATGTGGCACCAGACAGCTGTCAGTGTTTCTTGTTGGACAGATCAGATTTTTGTATCAAGGGATTTCTCCGGGGCCTGCAGCCTTTTCTGTGGGAGAGCATGACATGCTATGCACACCCTTTACTTGCCATAACAGTGTGCAGCAAACACACACGCCTTCCTGACAGTCAATTCTTATCACTCCGGTATCCCATTGTTCAAAGAAGGTTAAGATTGGATATTTGGAGCTTTGACCGCATGGGAGAAGGGAAAACAAAATAGCCTCAAACTCAGACAAATTCTTGATGTCAAAAGAATGTTTTCTTATGCTCAGTACACAAAAGAATGATGGCAGAAAACAAAGAGGGTCCTTCTTTCTTCAACAGCCCTTCTTTTTGTCCATTTAAGCAGGATGGGCAGAAGCTCAGGCTGGTCAATGTTGGCTCACCCACCCCATAGTGACATTGCACAGGTAGTGACCCCCGCGTAGCTAAAATCTCCTGAGCAGTATTTATTTGCTACCCACGGAGAACAGAGCAGCAGGTAAAGTCCATCCTCAGACCCTGCTCCTGCAAGCTGCCACCATGCCGTTTCCACCCGGCCCCACTGATGCTGCAGTACGGCAGCAGGAACCTGATTTTCCAGTGCCCAGTGCAAGGTAAGGAAGCCAAAAAATATCTGAAAACTTCTGCATATGGCATTTCTGACAAACATCGTCATTTTTCAATCATTTTTTGAGCAACACCTCAAAAATGAATCAGAAAGTAAACACGCTGCCACATGCATTTCATCTCAAGGACTATTTTGTATATATTTCTTTAAGTATCTTTCTGGCTTGCAAATCACTTCTTCTATCTAACTATACACCTATGTACACCTTCACAGACATGTCTGGGCCTGTTTCTGTGGTCTCTACACAAATAAAACACCCATCCACTTGAATGGGAGCTCTTTTCAAATAAATGTGGCAAGATTGGGCCTTTGGTGCATTATATGTGCAAGTATCCTGCACACACATTTTAAAATAATTAAAAAAATATAGTAGCTATAGATTTATAACTGATCAAAATCTAAACACAGTAAAACTGCACTTATTACAGTATAGCCTAGGTGAATTTACATTGCTCATTTACATGAAGCAAACAAAGGAAAGGAAATGTCTGTGACCCTGTAACTACAGGTTAACTGTAATTACAGTTTTGCTTATCCTTTTGTCTGTCCAAAAAGTCCAAAAGGATTTTTGCAACTAAAAAGAGGGATTTGCACCATTTCTTTCCAACATATGGATGCTTCTCAAGTGCTTTCCCATCTTTTTTGAAGTATCTTTCGCAACGTATCAGACTCCTTTTGGTTGCTTTTGTTCACTTCAATCATGATAGTAAAGAAAAATCCCTTACTAAAGAAGGTAATCTTAGCAAAGCAGCAGCAGCAAAGCAATACTGAAGTCACTACTAGTCCCATACTTGGTCAGAATAAGGAGTAAGGGCTCTAGGTAGCAGCTTCAGCGTCATTACTGTTATCATAAAGCTTAATGCACAGCAAGATGGCCAACCCACAGGGTCACATTGCTCTCTAAATAGCACTTTCATTACAGCACTTCATTATCAAAGCCCTTTGCACATAAATTTACAAAACACAGCAAAGACAAAGATCTCTTTTGCATATTAAATCAAGGAAACCATTTCATCTACAAGTTCATTCTTAGTGTGCTGCATATTTCACAGCTAGCCGATACGAGGTGGTGCTCACTAACACACGGTATAACTCTAAGACCAAAAGCACAACACCACAGATATATAAAGCTTAAGCACAGGTCCTTCACCTACCCCTGGCTGGTATTTCCCAAGTGAGCTCTGACACCTTTATCAAGGATATGGGTTGCTTTTAAAGTAATCAGACCTCTGGAGTCTAGTGTAAAGTTAAGGAAATACACTCTCACATACTGTCCAGGTCACTGCTGGTCAGTAGGGACTTTTGAAATGGTGACCATCGTGCTTCACTTCCTTTTTGACCATTTTATCTGAAGCGTGAGCAACTTTCACAGCTCTCAGCATAGCACAGAAGCTTTTAAAAGAAGCTTCGTGCATTCATGCATTACAAAATTAAAATCCAAGTCCAGATTTGGATTTAAACCCTCTCCCCCCCCCAAAAAAAAACCAGTATCCCTCATATAAAACTAGCACTTTAAACTCCAAATCCTTGATCAAATATCGTGTAACCTAAGTAAGACAAGACAAGGCACTGGACAACAGCCCAGGTGCTTCAGACTAAGAACATATACGAGGAAACTCTGTTCATTTAACTATGCCAGCACAGCTGAAACGGCAAACCTCACCCTCCTGTGTACGCAGTCATACCAGTATGAAAGGGCCTATACCAGCAGCCTACTACACCACAGTTCAGCAGCCAAAATAAACTCCAGCAATATGTGGCATCTTTTCTGGATCAGGATTTTGCCAATTTAACTGTATCGTGAAAAATTAAGCTTGGCATAACTGACAGAGTTACATTGGTAACTTTTTAAAGAATACACCAGCCCTTTTACTATCCTAATAACATTCTCAACACACAAAAATGCCATGTTAAGACATCTGACATCTTAAGGTGCATAATTTTAAAATAAGCATCATAATCCAAGCCACAAAGTATCTTCACTGTATTTTAACTTCATTTCCTGCCAGTACTTATCACAGATACCTGACAGTATTTAACTCGACCTGCACAACAGTGAATCAACATTCAGATACTCTTACGAAGTCTTTAATAAAAATCAAAACAAAAATGCCCTTTTCTATCTTATGCTGTGATATTTCAACCAAAACATCAACTCAGAAAATATAACTATGCAATCTCCTTGCTATTCAGCCCGAGAAAAGCTTGCAGAAGTGTGAAGGAGCATGTTTCTTCAATGAGGACTCCAATCTGAAGCTGGGATGGTCACTGCAGGAGGAAGTACGCACACTGCTCATGCATTAGCTAGAAGGAAAGCATTACAGACTATGAGAAAGAAAACATGATCAGCAGAGGAGACCAGAAATGTAAGACACAAGAAGGAAGAAGAAAGAAGCTCTAAAACAATTGCACACCATGATCAACACAGTTACCTGTTGCTGTGAATGGGAGTTTAACATTCTCTTCTATCCTGGCTGAAAAATTTCCTAAAGTGATCTTGTTTATTCCTATCACATCTATCTGCTATTGTCACCAATACTTTGTACAGTATTTGTACAGAACAAAGACCTCAAATTATATACTTCCCCTTAAAACTATAATGCTAAAGAGTATTTTCAAAAACCCAAATGCCAGAGAACAGTGCTTTCAATAAAATCTGGCAATGCCCAAGGTACTCGACTCAGAAACCTATGAAAAGTCATACAGTCTCTGCTGAAATTCTCCACCACTGCTTTTCCTCAAATTTTGGTGCTTTTATTCATAGTGAAATGATAAATATATTATACTTTGTGACATTACAGAACAAAGACCTCAAATTATATACTTCCCTTAAAACTATAATGCTAAAGAGTATTTTCAAAAACCCAAATGCCAGAGAACAGTGCTTTCAATAAAATCTGGCAATGCCCAAGGTACTCGACTCAGAAACCTATGAAAAGTCATACAGTCTCTGCTGAAATTCTCCACCACTGCTTTTCCTCAAATTTTGGTGCTTTTATTCATAGTGAAATGATAAATATATTAATGTGCTCTGTTTATCCCTAAACCTATTGGAAATGTGCTTCTTATCTGACTTGCTTTCCAGGGCAGTGTATACCCTGGGACAGAGGAGTTTTGCTTCTCCCACACTGTTACGGACCCAACTCTGCTAGCAGGAAAGATGCTGGTGTCCTCGATCTTATGGGATGCAATGCCTTGAGGAAATTTATATCAAACAATTATTGCATTATCTCAGGGTGTAATAAAACCTCCTACACCACACACAGGCATCGAGTTCCTGTTACACTTTTGTGTCAGAGGAAGAAGTGTCCCTGTCAACAGCAGCTACAGGTCCCTGTATGAACCCGCAGGATCCCCTTGCTGTGCATGTGGAGGAAGTTGAAGATTTCTGAGGGCATAGCATGAAAACCAGGGCGAGGTTTCACATTGTCATAGTAGTGGTGAGTTATAAAAATCCCTGAGGGGTTCATGGGGAAGGCCCAAAAGCCAAAAAGGTGGACCTCTTCGCAGAGCTCCAGGGCAGCAGTCACCAGGATCAGTCCAGTGCTAATCCGCTTGGCCCGCACCCCTTGGCCGAGCCAGTAGCGTGAGACGTTGATGAGATACTGGGGATGAAAGTAATAAACAGCTTGCTGAGATTCAAAATCATCCAGGACGTATTTGACCCGGATTGAGACGTCCGTGTTGCGAGTGTTGTAGAAAGCTGGCAGAAGCACGGAAGCGTTCTCGTAGACCTGGAGCACGTTGTAGAAGGGTTTCCTCCATTTTTCCAGCTTATGAAATCTAAAGGGAAAAGGATGCGAGTGATGGTCAGACCAGTGCGGACTCCGTCTGGACCCAGCAGACAAGAAACCTCAATGGGCTTTTACTGAAACATTTCTGATACAGACATAATTGAAAGGGGAATATATTTATATTTGTAGCTAAAGTGTCAATATGAAATGTAGGGCAAAAATGCAGGAGATAAAAAAATTTTCTCTCCTTTTTTGGCAATACATTCATTAAACAGTGGACAAACTTTGTAGACATTTCTGATCATGTCTCACTTCTCATTTTATTATGAGAAGTATGTAATTTTCCTAAGGTTTGGTTAGATGTATAGTGCACTATGCAGTGCAGAACCGTATAAAAAGTGGCAAATACCAAAGCAGAGCAAAAACATTTCTAAAATGACATTTTAATAACATTTAAAAGAAATCCACAATGCAAGCAAATGATTTTTTGTTGCTCGAGAAAAGAAACACATTCCCCCAGCAAGAAAGGAAAGCAGGAATTAGCCCCATGGTCCCAAACCTGTCAGCAAGGTGGCATTAAAGTATTAACAAATTTAAAATTAAAGTCACTCCTGGTTACAAAGATTAACTGGCATTTTTAAAAAAACTTATGACAATTTGTGCTACTTTATTTAAGCATTTAGGGTGGGAATCAGTTGCTTCCACCCTAATGTTTCCAATACATTTGCCTGGGGCTTGCCAGCACGGTACAGGACTTCCAGGGGAAGGATGGCTCTGCTGTTATAATTCTAGCTCATCAGCTTCCCACTTTCTATCACTAATGTGCAGGTCTAAGTGTTTAACACACTTCTATAAGTTGTAACTGATTCCATATACTGAATAACTTCAATTCAGAATTAAATGTATGATTCATAGTGTCCGTTTAAAGTAATATTGGGAAAAAATTCTCTGTAACAGTTAGAATTAAGTGAAAAGTAGATTTGGAAAAGCAATAGAGATGAAAATACAAAAACCAGAAATGACCTCTCAGTAATTATACTGGGATTGACAGTCACGACATCCGTCTTTACCCCAACGTCCGTGAAGTATTTCTCAGATATAGGAGGCAAATTGCATCTATAAAGGAAAGAAATTAGTAAGAAAGTTAAAAAATTCCTTGCACCTTTTCAGGACTAGAAAGTAGAATTGATTTAAGCATTTCTTCCAAGCAACAAATCTAGAAACAGATTGAGAATTTAAAATTGTATCAAAACATGTTGATGCCCAAACTGTGCATTAAAGTAACAAGTTCTTAGGGGCTGTAAGAAGAGACCTCTCTTCTTCCCCAAGTCTGTGAGAGATGACCCCTTTTTGCAGGTGTAGCCAATGCTCATTTATTTTGCTTCCTTAATAGCAGTTCAGCTATTTACTTTGGCAGTTTAGAACGAGAAATGGGATGAAGCCCCAAGGACAATCAGCCTATAAAATCAAAGACTTCCTCAGCAACAGCTGAGCTGTATTCAATAATTAATAGATAAACTATATCTATAACATTGCCTTTAACATGCTTTCTTTTATACCCAAGAGAATTTAGGGGAAATGCTCCACAAGAGACAAATCAGTCCAGTCCTAATTAATCTAAAACTATCTGTTTCCCTTCCTTTTCCCAATTCTGACTCTACAGATTCACCAGAGGATGTCAAAGCTATTAGGAGCAAACTTGTGAAGATTTGCAAACCTTGACTTTGCCCAGCCTCCACTCACCTTGGCCTTGACCTAGATTCATCATCGCAAAAAATTTAGAGCATCCCTTAAGAGATGCTGAAGTTACTGAAACACACACACATACACACAAGCTTCACTTCCATAGGAAACCCAGCTAAAAAAAAGCTTCAGCATGTGTTATAAGAGGCAACATAAGTGACCTTGCAACTGGTTTTACAGTCGGTTTAAGCTATTTGATATTTGCTAACACTTTGAAAACTTTTTGAAGTGATCTACAAGCCACAATAAAAGCCATCACTGTTAAGATCCCCACATCTCAAAAATTTTGCTGTGCCTAATTCCCAAACATCTCCATATTTTTGAAGATCAGGGCTGAAAAGGAGAAAACTGTTAAGGTCTTTAGGGTAAGTGATGCTCAGTGTTTTCACAATACTACAGTTCAGCTGCCATCATAATTTCTCAGTCACAGGGAAAGGGCAAGTGAGGGAGCAGAGGAACGCACAAAAATCCTTCAAAGTCCTTCTCAGACTCAGGAGGTTCACATCTACCTCCCAAAGAGTCCCTCTTTATCAGGTCAGAGAATTTTTTTTAGCCACCTCATCCTTCTCATAGGCAATGTTATTTCGAGCACTTTTCGCTACTAGGTCATGCAACGTCCTTCTGAAGTCCTCTAGCATCCTCAGTTCCACCTAGCACTGGGCACTGTGCTCATTACATTATATTTGAAAAAGGTTTTCAAATATTCAGCTTCAATATTTTCAAACAGTAAACTCCCACCAGGATTAAGAAAGAACGAATTTGTTGAAAGTGATAATTCCTTATAAAAACGATACAATCTGCATAAGCTGTAGTTTTGTCATAGGACTCCAAAAATCCATCACTGCAAAGAGAGTAGTCCCATCTATAAATGCACCCAATGTTTCATCACAGATCTCCACTTCGGCCAGTAGATGGAGATAGACAATAACAACTAGTAAGTGCAGTTCATGTGTGTGTATTTTATATATGCTATTGTAATATAATTAATTGCTATCAGAATTTATTTCATAGAAAAATCTTGGTTGCATCCTGCTGGCCACAAGCTTCCTGACAATAAAAGATTTTCCCAGGTGTCCTGAAGGTATCACTGAATGTTAGCAGTGCTCCATAGGCAGTTTTTGAAATATTTTAAAGAATTGTTTTGTTGGTGACCAAGATGGTGCTTCCCGGCAGTTTGATGAACTGGTGTCAGACTGGAAAGTCCATGTGTTCAGACCTGACCTTAAACACAAGCTTTACTTTAAAATTGATGTCAGCAGACCTTAAGCTCTTAAACACTAGCATGTCTTTGTGCACAATGCTGGTCCCACACGTTTTGGAGGTGGTGAACCAGGGATTTTTTTGCACAAGTACGGATGTACTTATTCATATTTCAGTCCTACTCAAGCCTCTACTTAATTACTGGTACCAAAAGCAACTTCTAAGTTCTGTATTGATATGATCTGCTCTTTTTATGCAGTTGTGGTACAGTTCAAGAAAGACCAACAGTGGTAAAGAGGGACCTCCACTAAAAGTTCTTATACATAAATGATGACATTTGCTGCCCATATTTCCACTTCCATTCAACAGTTTGTCACCTCCATGTGTAACATGTACCTTTCATTTCAACCATACTGGTACCTGTGATCCAGCACAATAGAAGGGAATCTACAATAACTATTTAATGTATATAGGTTACAGCAGGCTTTTAAGAAGCAAACTATGTGAAGCCTGGACTGTTTCACAGATTAAAATAAGGCAATAGTTTTCTATAAAACAGGCATAAGAGGCAGACACAAGGGGTCTGAATATAATCAATAGCAAAGGTAGGACTGGTAAAATTTTATTTCTCATTTGATGCCAAAAGGTTACAGTAGGCTTTTAAGAAGCAAACTATGTTAAGAAGCCTGGACTGTTTCACAGATTAAAATAAGGCAATAGTTTTCTATAAAACAGGCATAAGAGGCAGACACAAGGGGTCTGAATATAATCAATAGCAAAGGTAGGACTGGTAAAATTTTATTTCTCATTTGATGCCAAATTAAATTAAGAATGCAATGAGCCAAAATCTGACCTAATTTTTGCTGTTATTCAATCAGAGAAATTAATTGATTTATGCACAGTTATTCTAAACTGACAGGAACGTACCTAAGATCAGAAAATAGGCCAACAGAACTAAAAAGATTTTTCTTTCCTCAGAACATGTCATGAATCTCTGAGCTAGCTGTCATATGCCATGACCTGGGAAAAGAGCTTAACAGGATTTAGAGAGGGATTAGTCATGCATATGAATAATTGTGGTGCATTGACCCTGGCTGGACGCCAGATGCCCACCAAAGCCACTCTATCACTCCCCCTTCTAAGCTGGACAGGGGAGAGAAAATATGACGAAAGGCTCGTGGGCAACATAAGGACAGGGAGATCACTCAGCAATTAGCATCACGGGCAAAACAGACTCGACTTGGGGAAAATTAATTTAATTTGTTACCAACCAAATCAGAGTAGAATAATGAGAAATAAAAACTAAATCCTAAAACACCTTCCCCCCACTCCTCTCTTCTTCCCAGGCTCAACTTCACTCCCAAATTCTCTACCTCCTCCCCCTGAGCGGCGCAGGGGGACAGGGAATGGGGGTTGCGGTCAGTTCATCACACATTGTCTCTGCTGCTCTTCCTCCTCAGGGGGAGGACTCCTCACACTCTTCCCCTGCTCCAGCATGGGGTCCCTCCCACAGGAGACAATCCTCCACAAACTTCTCCAGCGCGAGTCCTTCCCACAGGCTGCAGTTCTTCACGAACTGCTCCAGCGTGGGTCCCTTCCACAGGGTGCAATACTTCAGGAACGGACTGCTCCGGCGTGGGTCCCCCGGGGTGTCACAAGTCCTGCCAGCAAACCTGCTCCAGCATGGGCTCCTCTCTCCATGGGGCCACAGGTCCTGCCAGGAGCCTGCTGCAGCACAGGCTTCCCACAGGGTCACAGCCTCCTTCAGGCATCCCCCTGCTCCAGAGTGGGATCCTCTACGGGCTGCAGGTGGATATCTGCTCCACCATTAACCACCATGGGCTGCAGGTGAATCTCTTCTCTGGCACCTGGAGCACCTCCTCCCCCTCCTTCTTCACTGACCTTGGTGACTGCAGAGTTGTTTCTCTCGCATATTCTCATTCCTCTCTCCAGCTGCAGTTGCTGTTGTGCAGCAACTTTTTCCCCTTCTTAAATATGTTATCCCAGACGCGCTCCCACCACCACTGATGGGCTTGGCCTTGGCCAGCGCTGGATCCGTCTTGGAGCTGGCTGGCATTGGCTCTATCAGACACAGGTGAAGCTTCTAGCAGCTTCTCACAGAAGCCACCCCTGTAGCCCCCCTGCTACCAAAACCTTGCCACACAAACCCAATACAATAATAAAAAAATCTTTCCCATATGTATTAAGGATGATGAAAGTGCTGCTAAACTCCGTTACCCAGGGATGCAAGTCGCAGGACATTCCAGTCTGTGCAAAACCTGGATAACTCCACATATGGTGGGGAGCACAATATGAAGACACTCAACCTTCAAAGTTATTCAGGTATCTCTGCACACCCTGGAGTCTACAGTACCGATCAGTGTAACTCGTATTATCCAGCACTTGAGCTCTGCACCACTTCAGAAACACACCTCCGAGGCACATGAGCTGCACAGCATAGAGCTATTAACATCTGGCCAAGCTGCTTGTCACATGACCGAGGTTGTACTTCAGGTTCAGAACTGCCCCAGAAGATCATGGCCACATTCACAAGACACTGCTCCTGGGCTAATGTCCGTGGAAGGATAAATCCACAACCTGAGTAACAGGGGATATCCTGAATGAGGACATCAAACTTTGTCAGTAAGTCAATGATTAACCACATGGAGTTAGGAAGGGGTAATTCCTCAAAGCATAATTTTTAAATAAATATTATACAGTGAGGTGGTTTTTATGAAACATCATTTTTTGTGCAAGAAGCAGGCTTGATATCTCCAGTTTGGCAAATCCCATGTTTCCATGTGAGAGAGAATAGCTTTATAATCCTTTATTTGTCATTAAAACAGCCAAAAAGAAAAACGGTGCTGTGGTGATTACCGAAACACGAAGTCTGCGCTGTCAATTTCCCGGCCACATCTGCTGTTCTTCAGAATTCCTCCGTTCCCAACCACCGCACATTTCTTAAACTGGGAGCGGTGGTACGGCATATCCTGCAACATCACAGCAAGGAAACAGTTAAATATCCCGCAACATGGAGGCAACAAGTCTCTTTTTTTTACTTTTTCCTTTTTTTTGTGCAGCTGCATCTTGCTGCAGATGCACTAATCATAGGAAGTTGACACTGGTTTTGGCCTGCAGTATTCCCATGGTGTACATAAATGGATGGGAATGTTTTCTGTGCAGTTAGAGATGCTATGGACAACTAACTCAGAGACAAAAAACCAATAACCTGGGTTTGTCCAAACTTAATAATAGGAGAAGTCATTTTAGAAACTTGCTTTCCCTTCTGATTTCCACATGGGGCATGAACCATAAAATTAGTGAAGCGCAGATGTTGTCTTCTGAGCTGCCTGCAAACTGCTCGCTCTTCAGGCTCTGATGTCCTGCTTTTAGAAGTCTGCACACATAGTCCGGGAGCAACTAGTAAAGCCCAGGAAGTCTCTCTAAATCAGACAGCACATTACAGCTATTTATCAGAACCTAGCCCAAATTTTAGTGTTTGCTACCACTAATTGTACTAATAGCATTAAAGATTATTAATTAGCACTTGTACTAACAGGAGTGCCTAGAGCCTTTGGTCAGGAACCTTTTTGGACTCGTGTAGGACACATCTTTCTGCAATCTTCAGGCAAAATTCTGTCTTTATATGCAGACATGCAGCTGCTGCCGAAGCAGGAGAGAGTGAAAATCACATCTCCGAGAACAGAACTGGGCCATTAGGGTGAGAAGTGACACAGAACTGAGCCGCTCTACACCTTATGAATATGTAGAGATGTGCTTATATAAGCATGAGAGCGCTCGTTTTGGTACATACATATTTTATCAATAATTTCATACAGCAAACTACAGAGAGGTGCGATAGTGGCATGACATTTCTAGGTGATTATTCCCAGGATCTTTCCATAGCATTCATAAGCCATGAGGCAAAAGGGCATGCAATTACACCTGTTTGAGAAAAGCAGCAGCTGTCTAACAGAGAGGCATTATAGAATTGTCTGTGCATTATCCAGTGATTTCTTAAAACAAAATGCCACCGCAGTCCTGAAAGGGAGATCAGAAGCCAGGTCTCCATACTCAGCACAAGGCTTTTGCCCTTAGAGTCTTGCTCCCGTGCTTTCAGTCCTTTATCTCCTACATTTGCCATGCTGCAGCCCTGCTCCTAGGTGGAGGATGGCTTTGGCCACACAGGTGCGCCCAGTAAATCCCAAAGGCACTTCGGCATGGGATAGAGCCCGCAAAGCATCCTAAAGGCATACCTGGATAAATACAACAGCAGCTATAGGACACTCCTAGCAAAAGCGTAGGCGTCTAGTCTTTCATGCATTCATCTGCGCAGTCGGGCAGGGTTTTTTGAGGATAATACTCCTGGACTTAGATGTACCCATTCTTTGCACGTCTCCAGATGCCAACGTGCTTTCCTGGATCTGAGCCTTTCCCCGGCTCTGCCCCAGTTCCCCATGTGCACATTTAGATAACAGCACTACCCTACCTCTTAGTAGTGCTCAGAAAGCAAAAGGATTAAAAGTGGTTAGACCCCGAAGGACAACATTAATGACACAAATCTAAGTACTTAACTTGAATATTTTTCTGACTTTCTGAAAGGGATAAATTTCAGTTATCCCCTCCAAATACGCCTTTTCAAATTCATGAGGTGTGCCCCATGATAAATTAGTAGTCACATAAGCCCATTTCTGCATATCAGTCACTATGTGCAATGGGAATTGCCCACTGGTTATTACTGCGAATGACCCTCAGGTCAAAGATTATTTGCTGAAAAGGTTTTGAATAATCATTATGATGAATATATTTAAAAATTGTGCAGCCTTTTCACAAATAAGCTGCAAACAGAAATAAGTGTAAAAATAGTTAGTCATTGTTAATATGAATTATAAAATAATCATGCCCCTAAATAAGCAGACGTACCCCAAACGTTGGATTTATTGTATGTGAGTATTGTACTTTTAAAAAGTTCTGATCAGTAAGTGCCTCTTTTATTCAGTTATTTCATTAGCTACTTTGTTGCTACACCAATAATATTCTGCAGGAAAACATATATATATTGCACACCAGAGCAGATAACCACTAGAAAATAGGATAATCAGCTAAAATATCATATAAAAAAAAAATATTTCAAAGTATATGCAATGAAGTTTGTAGAAATGTTAAACAGCCAACTGCTTGGCTATCAGATAGCATCTAATGCAGCAAGTAGAATGAAGTTGATTCTGCAAATGGACAGAGGCATGACGCACCTTTGGAAACATTTTGAAGATTTCTTGGTTGATATGGAAGATTCCACTAGTGTCCACTTCATATTTCAGTTTAGTTCCCAAGGGAGTATTTTTCTGGGTGGTGAAGAGAAAGGCAGGGGCATTGCAACACCTCGACAAAGTAGACCTGCAAAATGAAGAAGAGAGAAATAAGATCAAGGTGCTTTAGGATTTGCAATTACTACTACTCCTAACAAGGCATTTTTCAACAAAAAGAAACTTTTTAGCTGTAGGAGGGGTAAAATGGATGTTTGCTGAATTTTTTTTTAGAAAATTTCAGATTCAGTGAAATTTTCCTTGATTGAGGAATTTATGGCAAAAAAAAAAAAAAACAAACAGAAGAAATGAGATCCCTGTACCTGTCTCTCCTAGGCCGCAGGAAATATATATGCAAATTCTGCCCTGCTCCACACCCCAAAGCTGAGTTTCTGCCCCCAATATCCTGCGGAAACCATCCTAATGAATTAGTCCCTCTCTGCTTTAGAGGTCTTCCACTTTTTGTAAATTTTTTACTCATCACTGGGCAGGAAATGCAGGGGTTAAAGTATTCATCTGGGGATGTGGAAGCTTGGCAGGGCAGGGATTTAAACACAGCAATACCTGAAGACACCACCTCACTTACCAGATTACTGTGGAGCACAGCACACTTTGATTACAAAAAAAACTTTTAAAGCTCCTAGTTTTGCCTTTGACCTTGCATATGCACATCAGGAAGATGATGTAGCCCCAACAGATGAGTGTCAGACAGACTGGTCATGGCTACAACTCCAAAATCTCAGACAAATGGCCAAAACTTTCTTTGTCACTGGGACAAAATGGCAGGTATTCCAATGCAAACAAGAAGAGTTTTGAAATTCAAAAATGGGATTCACGGCATGAGAGAAAAAACATTCAGCTCTTATCCCCTTACCATAAGTTTCATAAGAAATTTAAATAGGAAAAGCAGCTTTCCAAATAGGAGTCCATCTCTTAGCTCCCATCTTTCCCTGAATGATTTTCTCCTTTTACTGGTGGAACTGAAAGCCCTTCTTACTCCAGAGCCAGTTTGTTTCTCAGTCAATGCATTTTATATCTTTAATGAAAAATACATGTCATGGCAAATGCACAAACATGACGACAAAGCCAAATGGTTCTTAAATAACCTAGATTAAATACCTTGCCTCTTGGGTATGTGGCCTCATTATGAGTTGGAAGAATAAGCCAATCTTCTTTATGGGCTTTATTACAAGCACCAGAAAGCAAATACAGAATTATGCAAACATTTCAGTGATGTCCAATTACTATTATATACTTGACTCATGCAGAATGACACAATATGATGATCAGATCAAGGTAGCAATTAAGACTGAATAAGTCAATTAATAATTTCTAATAATTAAATCATTAAATAATTACAAGCAGGTAGTGAGATTGAATTGTGATATTTGAGATATGAAAAAACTATCCATTAGTTCTGCATTAAGGAACTGAGAGAGATGTTGTTCTTTAATCTAATGTCCAACAGGTTTTCCAGAGGCACGTTCCTTAATGTAAATGTCTGATATCTGATGGAGGAAGACTGTCAAGAAAATTGTTTTCCTTAGTCTCCAGATAAAAAAGCTAGTGTGATTTTTGTGTTTCCTCCTTTCCTGCTGCTTAAGTAGCTGCCCTTTAACTTTTGCTGGATTCTCCTCATCTCACCTGATGGTCCAGAACTGGCAAAGCCCACAACTCAGTGTTGTTAGACCACCACCTTTTAGCCTCCTACTAGTCTACCTCCAAACTCAGAGACTTTGGTTTGCTTTTAAGGGACTACAGTTTCCCCACATTCACACACTGAAGTCTCTGTCCCATAAGACAAAAATGAAACAGACTTTGAACTTCTTTTTTTTATATCACTAGCACGATTATTGTTCCTGGAACCACCTAACAAAGGTTAGGTTACATCTAGGTGCCAGTGGAAGTTTCTTAAGCAGTGATATATCAGTCAGGGAGGTATAGCCAGTGACAGGAGCCTTTCATCTCTTCTTTTGCTCAATGCACTGTCTAGGATGGAGAGGGGTTCTTTGCTTAATGTGCTGGTATTGGTGGCCTGAGAGAGAGTGCTGGTCTTCCTGATGGTCTTTAGATAGTCCTTTCTCATTGCTCCCACCTCTGGGCTGGCCTCCATACTTCAATGTGCTCCTTGCACTCTGGGCACAATCATTAGTTCTCTTACTCCAAGCAGTCTTTAAGATAGTAGGCTCTAATCCTGAACGGCTCTTGTCTTCAAAATGGGCTCTGATAATTGCCCATCAAGTAATTTCCAGAAAAAAATATACTAAAAAAACTCTAAAAAAACTTACGTGTAGCGCTCATGTAAAAACTGCAATGAGTCTGGGACTAATAATTAGTTATTTTTAAAGATGTTAATGACTAACTCAGCACATGCATTTTCACACTCTCTCATTAACTTGTGACAGCTATTTCCTGGAATCATGCAAGAGAATTTGGGAGAAAGTTGTGCGGCCTTATTCTAAGCAACAGCTCTGAATCATGCCAGTGACTTACAGACTTAACCAGACTATATTCCACTTACTCTGAAATAATGTGGTTTCTCTAGACCTACTCAAATATGGCCCTTGAATATACCAATCTACAACATTCAAATATTTTTTTGGCTTCATCCGACTATTGCCTTGACAAGACCAATTTCAAAAGTTGTATCTTGAAAGGACGATGGAGGACCTTCAGCGAAGAGGAATTCACATGAAGAAAGACAGAGTACCACAGAAACAAACTGCAGAGGTCTCCGAAGACCAGAAAAAATATCTAGACAGTCAGGGAGTAACAGCTGAGAAGCCATTAAAAAAAAGGAATTGATAAACAAGGTCTGGCCGTACCTAATACACCACAGAAAAAATCCAGTTTGAGTATTTTGTAGGCCAAGTTTGCAGTGTCACCAATGATATTACCATTTTACACAGAGAGCTAGGTTGATGTATTAGGTGCAGCCATTAAGTCTTGGCTTCATTCTCATGTCTGCCTGAATCATACCTGGAAAAGACTTTTTCATACCACATTCCCTTCCTTTCCTGGGAAGACTGTCCCACATGCCAGAAGAGCTCTCTTTCACTCTTGCTGTTGACTTTTTTAAAGTAGAAAAAAGTCCATATTTATTCAAAAGGATGGTACTCCAACAGTAACAGTGTTATAGTGCTTACTCTTGCTATCCGTATGAAAGTTTGTTCTCTCTACAGGAAGCTAAACTCAAACTAAAGTAAACCTTACTCAGACTCATTAATGTGGACCATTCTTACTTGAATAAGTTAGCTTCTGTGACATTCATCTCCCATTTGCACATCTGTAGGCTCTTCCATCTGTCAAACAATTCAGTTTGTTTCACCCTAAAAGATAAAAGGAAAGAAAATAAAAATCACTTTTTTACAAGGGCTTTATTTCTTAAACCAGCTGCAGCCAGGGTACCATGCAGCAGGCTTTTGATAGGGCAAACCAGTCAGTCTATCCAGTGCCAAATTTATCATTTTTATTTCTTTTTCTGCGCAGACATAGCAACTCTAAGCCATATATACACAGGTACTGATGGAGCTCTTCGGATGTTTGGGACTGATTTCCATTTCCTGATAGGCATTCTCCATTTCTTCAGGATAAAAATTGCAATATCAAGCAAGAAGGATCTACCTGTACCAAAGTCTGTCCACAGTCTGCTGGGAAGCTAATGAGTGTCTGGTAACTACAGCGGCTTTGGGGGAAAAAGTTGCACCTAGCATAAGGGCACAGCAGAGGGGGTATTGGAAAAGAGGATACTTCAGATAATTTGGCCAACTACCATTATATTTGGGTGAGGTTATCTTAATCCGTGAGATCCTACACAACTGTTGGTAAATCCATTTTATAAACTGCAATAGCACACGTGTCAGGATAAGCATCTGTGATGGTAAGAGGACATGAAAAATTCTTTACGTAAGGATCTCTCCCTCCCTCTCTGTTAATAAATATACTTCTAGTTATATCAAAAAATGATACCCCTACTTCCACTAGGCTGATACAGGATGACACATTTTTGGTGATATCATTCCAACCACTTCTACCTTAGAGTTCATACATATTGTTCTGTATTTGGACAACAGAGATAACGAAGGCCTTGCAAATATCTAGAGCTAGGGAGCAATGTCATAACCTGGCTGGGAAATTTTGAAGTCTGAGATTTCTTCAAGTCTGATAGGTCTTAATGAGTTCTCTTCAGGCTTGAGGGCTTTGAATGTTTGAATAAAGCAAAGACTTTTGAGATAATTACATATTTAAAGTGAGTAGAACTTGGGATTTTCCAGGCTGTGGAAGCTACAGGAAGGAACTAGGTCATATTGTACTTTCTGTAGCCCACCAGAGCACATTAACTTGGAAATCTTCCATTACCGTAAGGGCTGATTTACTTAGGAAATGTAGCACATTAGAAGCAAGCACATCAGAAAAACCCGGCATAGTAAAAGAGCTTAATGTCAAATGGCATCTATCGTAAAAGTAAGGCAAACTCTATCCAGCTGAGCAGGAGTCCACTACCTTCTATGTGCCATTGACTAAGATGAAAAGAAATGAGTAATACTCTGTACCATCTGATACATATGCAGAAAACCTATTCAAAACTCCCCATCTTCAGCAGAACATTGGCACAAGTGTCACATTCTCACCCCTTCTTTTTATTTTTAAGCACTGCAAGTCAGCAAGCAGTGCAAAGTTGTTACTCGCATATCCTTCATCCAGTACAAAATACAGAAGGCAAGGACATAACCTACATTTTTCTGTGCACAGTCAGTGAGGGAGACACGCTCAAAATTCATGCAGACCTGGAGCAACAAATTGTATTTGCTGTAGTCCTGATTGCTTAACGCTATGCACTTGTATAGCTGCACTTTCAATTGAGATTCTCTGTGCAATTTGCAGACCTTAATAAGCCTTGTGGATTGTTGGTAAGATTACTAAACCACTGGGTTTAGATATGGTAAGGGACTAGGCATAATCTAAGCACCTAAATTCAGTGCAATGCTGAAAATGCTAAAGGGCAACACAAAAATACCCTGCTTTGCTCTGTCCCATGAGCTCCACTGGCAACCTCACTTTTTTGCCTGATTCCATCTCTATGGCTTCATGGATGCATCTCATTTAACTCATTAGTTTTCTGACATAAATATAGGACCACAAAAGCCAAAATACAGATCTTTTATTATTTCTCAGAATCTCATTTTCCTACTTCTTAGTGAGTGTTATTAACTTGTGAAACTCACTGCTGCAGGAAATTGTGGAGGTCAAAAATACAAACAGACTCAGAAAAGATCTAAACAAATTAACAGAGAGGTCTATTGTCCACTCTGACTACCGTAGTCTAGTCACCACCTACCACCCAGCAAAACCCCATGCCAGTATGTGTTATCAGGAAGGGCTAACCTTTTTCCTTCATTTCTTAGCCTTCACTGCTGGCCACTGTCAATGACAGAGCCTTAGGATAGATGGACACTTGCTATGAGTCAGTCTGGCTGTTCTTACTCTTCAATTACCCTCAGTAGAGGACCTGGAATATAATATTATAAATAATATTACACTGTATTTCATTCTAAACAGTGATATTGGGCCTGATCAAAATGCCTCAATGTATGTGAAATGCCTCCAGTTTTTTCAAATGGACCTCAGGTCAAATTCAAATGTGACTGCTTGCACATATAAGACAACCTCAGGAATCCCTGATGAGATCCATGTTGATGGGAGCTCTTAAGCCTTGCATCTTTGACAATCTTACTGGAAGTTATCATTTTCATCCAGCCTAAGAAGTAACTTTCTAGCAAACATTCATTCATACTTACATAGACAAAACCTTCACTTCAATGATGTCCTGCCGTAATTCCAGGCATTTTGTAGAGTTGTATTCCAAAGGCCCTTCATAAAACTCAAAATACCTGAAGAAGGACAAGAAAAAAGATTATAAATAAGCCTTAGACTGGAATACTTGTTTTACACATCAACGGAAATTTGCTTAAAGTTGTCATTTATGACTTCTGCCTAACTTGAGACTACACTGTCTGGCCCATACGCAGGTTATTACTTCGAAGGAAAACACAGATGTCATTGCTGATTGTAGAACAGCCACCCATGTCCAGTTTGTCCATCTTTACAAGAGTTCATCTATCTTGTAGGCACCAGCAAGGACCAGCTACCTTTTCCAGCAGTCAGCACATAGCAGCTGCCACTGAAAGTCAGGAAAAAGCAGTGATCACTTAAGGAACACTGTTCCCATCCTTTGGGCATCTGAATATGCTCAGAGTTTAAAAATCAGTTCCTTAAATTTTGCTTTTAGGTGGAAAACAAAGTGCTGGAGATGACCTGGAGGAATAGGCTAGAGCAAGTTATTTTGATGGATCCTTTAAAATCTCAGAATTCATGAGGCTGTAACTCCAAACTATCTTTTGAATTTTCAATATGAAAGAAAAAGACAAGATTCCTAGAAGAGCTTTGTTTAAACCATCATTGGAAATGTAGTATTTTGGGTTTGTGTCATTTTAAAATACCATCAAAATTCATGTTTGACCTGAATGTCTGTTCAGGTCTGAATATATAATCCTTAAGTAGGAAAGCCTTGTTAGTTTCCTTAGCAGTTCATGTTTATAGTTAATATCAAAATTTTGGGGGATCCAAAATTTATCTGTTCTGGAGAAGTGCTAAGCGTTCACACCTCCCAGGGGAACTGTAGGAAGGGAGTGTGTCCAGAAAACAACACCTCCAGGTATCTCCAACATGGCCTCCAAAGGCCAGAAGCATCTAAAACCAAACAGCTTCTGAATTTTGCCTTGTAAGTACATCCAGAAATCAATTTGATAAAGCAGGGAAGAGAGGAACCTATAGAAGGGAGAAAGGGACTATAGTATACGACTGGAAAAAGCCCAAGACCTTCCCAAAGCAATCTGCTACCAACTGGGAACGTTTCTATCCTGTCAAATGCTGCTTTAGGATGTGTCTCCTTCACCTCTTCCTGAGGTTTTCACCACCTCAGCTTTGCCAAATCCCAAACCAATCATTTCTGTCATCCAGTGAGAGGCACAAACCTTGAGACTGAAAGGAAGAAGGCCATGCCTAGAAGGTGGCAGGAGAACATCATGAATTCCTAATAAAGAAGTAAACTGATTAGTGTTAGAAAAAAAAAATAGCTCAGCAATCTTTAAAAAATGTGAATATTTGGAAATGTGTTTGCATTGTCTTCAAGGCAACAAATACATTTTTATGAGTTTTGTAGAGGAAATTATATATTTAAAGCACTCCATAATCAGTGACAAATCTGGGAAAAGACTTCCTCAGCCTCCAGAAGGGAGATGAAGTTCTTGTAACATGAACCTTCATCTGGTCTCTCACCAAAAGGCTTGGGCTCTCGTTCTAACTCAATTGTTCACCTGGACATTCAGCCTTTACCAAAGAGCAGCTGAAATCCATTGCATTGGCACATCTCCTGCGTGCTTGGCTTGTTGAACTGGAGCTGAGCAACTTGTGTATTTTGAAAGCTGCTCCAACTGAAATTGGATTAAGAGCTCACCTGGTTGCACCAGGCCAAAGCCCTGTGTGGATGTACTCCAGATAAATTTCCAAAACTAAACTGAAATTTCTCTCTGTGAAGCCAACACCATAGGACTTCTTGCTGGTCACAGAATTTTACAGGAGTGAAGGAGTCCCCTCTGGCTACCAGTCCAGACAACTTTCTCATCCTCCTGCAATACCCATTTTTCTTACTGTATTTTGCAGTATCCATTCTTTACTTTAGTTCTTTGAGTCAGACAAGACTGGGACCCTGAATGTGCATGTTCTACACAATAGCTAGAAGCAGGTAAACATCCCCACGCAACACTCAGCACGTTACACACCACTCCTACCTCTTTGGGTGTAAGGGGGATAACGACGGCTAACAGCCTCATCCTCACCTTTCACCTAACACTGCATTTCTGTACCTTGTATATGCCTCAGGACAGATAAGAATGTCAAAAATCTAGATTAACATGTATTTTTATCTTTTCTATGAACTTCTGGCTCTGCTGCTAAGTTAGAGAACTGCAGCTCAGATGTCAAACAGCACATGCTATCATGTGGGAATGCTGCAGCAGGGAAAAGCTGGCTTCAGCCCATGGCACTGGAGACAAAGATGTCATTTTATGAAACAGATGAAATTTCCTGAGTCCCAGAGATTCCCTTTGATCATTCCCTGTTTACCCAATCCACAAACGAAAAACAGAAATAAAAAATGAAAGAGGCAGAAGAGTAAGGAGGAAAGGATTAGGTAAAAAATAAACGGCTTCTGGATCTGAAAGGAAATCCGTGAGGCAGCATTGCATTTATAGGAGAGTTATTCCATTAGCCTACAGCTTCAAAAAGTACAGGAGTGTCCTGCAAGTCTCTAACTCTCACAATAACTCCAGCTTTTCCAGCAGAGTTCCAGTTTGGGAGTGTCAAATTCACCATTTGGTACCTTGTGGAAGTGCAGAGGGAGGACCCGTGAAACAGGCTGGATGACTTACTGCCGATGGGACACGTGCCTCCTGCGGCAAAGGCAGGGGACACTGACGGCAGTGTCACTCCTGCAGTGAGTGGGGAGAAGATGCTACTGGCCGTGGGGTGAGCTCGATTGAAACTAACTCAGTGTGCCTGAGCCACTGAATAATCATCATGTGGGCTGTCATTCATAAGCTCTGAACCACATCGGAAGCAAACAGCCAGACACTAAGCCTCCTTAGTGTTAATGCTACTGATGCTGCAGCACTTAGGTTGCAAGCATTAATGATGCTACAACAGCATTAAGGAATTTGCAACACAGTATCTGATCAATAAACTAAAAAAAAAAAAAAAAGTTTCCTCTCTTTCTCCCAGGAGTGTTCATGCTATTTATTTGCTTCACAGCAATCCCGCTCCTGCTACAGACACCGAGGCAAATTAGCAGAGGCAGCTCCCTGGAGCACTGGCCAACCTCTCCCCGCAGAAGTGCTTCACGTTGTACTTTCCCAGAATACAGCTTTTGCACAACACCGGGCTCTAGCACAAGGAACACGGGTTCCCTCAAGCCCTGCGGTTGTCCTTTAAACCCAGCTCCTCCGCTTGGCAGGGTCTGGTCCTGCTGGGAGTGTTTGGAGACCAGCCCCCCGCACTCTCCCAGAGGAAGCATCAGTCTCACCCACCCCCCGGGCTCCGAGTGCTGCTTCTGCCTATTAACTCCCACTCTAAACCATGTAGTTCCCTGTGAACAAAGATACATCTGCCTGTCAGAAAGCTTAATTAGCACAAATGGAAACTGTCCTCCCCATCATCTTCCTCAGTCTGATATCCAGCTAAGAAGCAAGGGTGTAGTGCAGTTTAGTTTGATTTATGCTCTTGATTAGTGACAAGTGACAAACCTGACTATGCTGCTCCTTTTGCTACGGAAAAGGGCTGTGTTTCAGCTTTACAAAAATGACAGTCATGTTTTATATCCATAAACCACAGTTGATATGTCACTGCCAGAATGTCCTCTCCCTGCATTGCCTTCGCTTCCCCTGCTGAAATCTAAATAACTTATCCCTCAAAGGTCACAAGTCTACGGGAAAACCAACACAAGAATTCATGATTCTTTACAATAGGGAACACAATTACAACCGAATCACAACAAACAGCACAGTTGCACATAGGATTGCGTTTTCCCAGGGTACCAGGCACCACACATGACTCACTGCTCTATGTCCATTCAGGTCAATTGTAGCTTTCAATTCTACTACATTTTTCCAGGATCAAATCCTGTATCTGAACACCACACAAGCTGCAAGAGCTCGGAGAGGACTCTTTTTTATGGCTCTCAGTACTGGATGCCCAGAAATGAGATGCTATTCACTCTGTAATTTTCCATTTTTGACTGAGACTTTCTTCTTTTCTAACCTTCATGTCTCCCATTGTAACCTCACTTCCAGCTGAGTAGCCTACTGAGCTCGCTAGTGAGAGACAGATTTGGTTTCCCAGTACCCCAGCTACTCTTACGTCTTTGATCATCTGCAGTTGGGCTGTTCCTACTTTGATCAAAAGTAAGCTTTTCTTGATCATGCTATGTGAATTAAAAAGCCTGAGACTTCAATCCTGCCTTCAAGTGACTTGGATTGAGGCACTCATTAATCTGATATATTGAACAAAGGTTTTAAAATATAATTGAGTGTAATTGTCAGGCATCTTTTAAACAAGACCATTTTCTCCTGCACAAGCCGCCTTCCCATTTTGCTCGTCCCTGCGGTGCCGGCTCTGCACTGTTTGCAGTGAGGCTGCAGCACTTACGCTGCAAGAGAGCAGAGTATCGCAGGAAGGATTCCACCTACCCTGCAGGAAAAACAAAGATCTTTCCAAAAATATACATTATCCAGTGACTAAGAAATGAGAATAAATGAACCAAGCCCTGCAGGCTTCTACTAAATACTTATTAAGAGAACTGTCCAATTAGCAGTGCCTGCACTCATCAGTATGGGCAGATCCACAGCCAGCCTTGGGTCTAGATTCACCTTCCCTACTCAGGAACCTCGCAAGTTTGCCAGAGCACACTCCTCAAGGCGTGCAGGGACTCACATTCGTCTGGCAGGGCCAGCATGGAATGTGTGAAGATCCCACATGGGATCTTCAAACCCATGTAGCAAAAATACTGCTAAGGTGGAACATATCATGGCTATAGGGGCTCTGGAAAATTCATCCAAACTAGGTGTTGACTTCATCAAAGTCCATTGTGAGTGAGCCACCAAATCCTGCTAGCCTTCGCTTTCTATTAACATTTCTATGCAACAACATCAAAAACTACAAGATTTGGTCACAAGGTTTAAGGGCCCGACATCAATACAGTGATCTTTTTCCCTCAAAGAGTGCATCCTACCATGCCACATGGCATATTCTCTTAAGATTACTTTGACCCCGTTTGGAA